GCGGTGTATTTAAAGGGGAGACAGTCGGTCTCCCCCTCCAACAACCAGGCTTCCACCAGGCTACCCTCCCAGTAGCGCTGGCAACAGGGCAGAGTGCAGCTGGTCTCTGCCCACGCAGCAACCCACCAAGTCAGCGTACCCGTACCCAGCACAGCCGTGGTGAGGCACCTGGGCATTGTCAAGCTTCTCCTCTACCCAGGTGCAGTAACTATTTATTGTGGGTGGGCTGTGCTGTTGATTGTGTTTTGTGGGTGGGCTGCTGGACTAACAAGGGCACTGACCGGCAGGAGGTCAGATACCCTGTTAGTCTGTTTGGAAAAGGGGAGAGATGTGACGAGACCAATCTAGCCACATTGCATTGGAGAAGCCTGGTTGCTCGCCTGCTGCCTTTGGACTATGGCCCCCTTTTAAAAGACTTTATTTTTGCCTGCAGAAAAGCTGTATTCATGCTTTTCTGCCTGGGGTTCAGTAGATTTGTTTGAATGTGTTATACCCCAGATAGAGATCCCATGGAGCCCATTAAGTATGAAGCGGCTGCTTGGGAAGCTTTGGCTCCTTGGCTGATTAGCTACCATTTGTGTGTGTGGTCGGCCATTCACTTAATAATGGCGGCTCAGACCTGAAACTATCTGGGGATATGTAGTGTCTGTGTTTTATGTATAGTATGGCTTTTATGTATTTTAAAAGTGTTTTTATGCTTTGTGTCTTTTTGCAACCATGTGCTTAGTAGGTGGAGTATTATGTCCTGGGGAGATAATTGAATTACTTATCTCCAGGATAGAAGACTCTGAAACTGGTTTGGGCCAGAAAGCCATGCTTCATTTAGTCACAAAGGACTTTTTACTAACTGTTGAACCCCTTGTCTGATTTGTGCCATTTTTGAATATGTTGTTCCCCTGAATGGATTGATTGAGAATATGTAATTTTATGTGAATGTGATGTATGGTTTTGAGTTATGAAAGTTGGGTAGAAAGTATGTTTTAACTGTTTGTATAATTGAGTTTCCTCTCAGGATAAGGGGAGGGAATATGTGGGATGTAACTGAGATATGATTGGTTGTTTTATCCCTCCCTGTGGGTGGTCCTGTATTTGAAACACTGTAATAAAAACCAGGCTGGGTGTGCCAGCACCTCAGACCACTGCTTGACCCTTAACACGGAGCCTTGTCTCGTTCTTGGGGGGATTCACTGTATGCTGTTAGAGACTGATTGCCAGTAGTGTAAGCTGTCTGCTTTTCCTGTTCGTCTGCTAGCAGCTATTTGGGAGGTTCCAGTTCGGGAGTTGGAGTTCTATGTTGTATCCAGTTCGTGAGTTTTGGTGATTCTACAGTAGCTGTGCCTGTCTCTAAAAAGGGGATTATCGTCTAAGCGGTTTTTTCCCCTTTTGTGCAAAACGGTCCGTTACAAATGGTGGCAAGCGGCGGGATCGTTCCTACAGCCAGAAGGACAGCTACAGGAGACACCATTTCTTTGGATTTACAAGTTAAGGGCAACGCATGTCCCAGTACAGCGACACTGACAGCACCAGGATGGAACCAGCAGTGGCGTACAGATACTCTATGAGAGAGTATGACCGTATGATGTGGTTGCGGCTGAACTTCTTTGGACCCAATCCAGCTGAGAAATACGTGCAGTCCATGAGAAACCTAGTGTTCATGAATCTGCAACACCGGGCAGAAAGAGAAGGTCAGCTGACACGTTGGGAGGAACTCCAGCGACAGGTACTGCAGGGAATTGGGAGCCCAGTCTCCATTCCCCAGCGGCAGTGTGATATGCAGGGAATTGGGAGCCCAGTCTCCATTCCCCAGCGGCAGTGTGATATGCAGGGAATTGGGAGCCCAGTCTCCATTCCCCAGCGGCAGTGTGATATGCAGGGAATTGGGAGCCCAGTCTCCATTCCCCAGCGGCAGCGTGATATGCCGGGAATTGGGAGCCCAGTCTCCATTCCCCAGCGGCAGTGTAAAGTGCAGGGAGAGGAGAGCAGCGTCCTCCCTCCCCAGCGGCAGGCTGAGTTACAGGGGGCAGAGGTAGTTGTTCCTGCCCCCCAGCAGCAGAGTGATATGCCGGGAAGGCAGTGTGAAGTGCAGGGAGAAGAGAGCAGCCAGGGCCGGCCTTGGGCAATTAGGCGCCCTGTGCAAAAAGTCTTCACGGCGCCCCCCCCACCTCCCACCAAGTTGCCTGAATACAGTAACACACACAGGCACCGGGGACGTGTGTATCACGAGGCAAACAAGGCATCTGCCTTGGGCGCCACTTTGCAGGGGGCGGCAAAAAAAAGCATCCCTCCAAACCCCAGGCAGATCCCTTGCTTGCCTCGCATCCTGGGGGGCTCAAGAGCTGACCGGCTGGCCACTTTTGAGCCCCCCCAAGGCTGGCAGCGGGCAGCGAAGGAGCATACTCACCTGAGCTCTTCCTGGTCAGCTTCCTCTGCGCCGCTTAATGAAGCCGGGAGCCAGAATATGACGTCAGTCCGGCTCCCAGCATCACTAAGTGCTGCTTACTCAGCCTGTGCGCCCCCTGCCTGCCTGCCCAGCAGCCACACTGGACTGCTGGTAAGAAATCCACTCCAGCTTTCCCAGGGAGGCTGGGTGGATTTAAAATAAATGTAAAAAATATTAGTTTGTGAGTGTTAGTGAAAATGTCTGTGTGTGTGTCTGTGAGTGTTTATTTTGAAGTGAATGTGTGTGTGTGTGTGTGTGTGTGTCTGTAAGTGTGTAATTGTGTGTGTCTGTAAGTGAATGTGTGTGTGTCTGTAAGTGAATGTGTGTGTGTCTGTGAGTGAATGTGTGTGTTGGTCAGTGAGTGTATATGTGTCAGTCAGTGAGTGTGTATGTGTCGTCAGTGAGTGTGTATGTGTCGTCAGTGAGTGTGTGTCGGTCAGTGAGTGTGTAAGTCAGTGAGTGTGTAAGTCAGTGAGTGTGTGTCGGTCAGTGAGTGTGTGTCGGTCAGTGAGTGTGTGTCGGTCAGTGAGTGTGTGTCAGTCAGTGTGTATGTGTCGGTCAGTGGAGTCGTGCATCTTTCAGTGAGTGCTTGCGCCTGTCAGTGAGAGTGTGCATCTGTCAGTGTGTGTCCAAGTAATAGTGTATGTGTGTATGTCATTGTTTGTCAGTGTATATGAGAGTGTGTGTCTGTCAGTGAGTGTGCGTCTGTCAGTGAGTGAGCGTCTGTCAGTCAAAGTGCGGCCTTGACAGGAAGGGGTGGGGAAATTTAAACTCGGTTACAGGCATGTACACACACACTCAGTTAAAGGCAGTCACACATACAGGCACAGGCACAAACAATGGCACAGCTACAGCGACACACACAGACAGATAGTCACATAGGCAGTCACACACACAGACAGACACACAGTAACACACACATAGACAGTTATACACACACAGGCAGGCAGTCACACAGATAGAAAGTCACACACACAGGCAGGCAGTCACACACAGACAGATAGTTACAGACAGACACAGGCAGGCAGGCAGTCACATACAGGCAGTCACACACACAGGCAGTCACACACACAGACAGACAGTCACACACACAGACAGTCACACACAGGCAGGCAGTCACACACAGAGACAGTCACACACAGAGACAGTCACACACACACACAGAGACAGACAGTCACACACACACACACAAGGACAGGCAGTCACACAGACAGTCACACACACACAGACAGTCACACGCACACAGGCAGGCAGTCACACAGACAGACAGTCACACACACACACACACACACACACACAGACAGACAGTCACACAAACAGGCAAACAGTCACACACACACACTTACCTCTTTCCAGTGGATGCAGTTGGCTGATGGGG